AGTTTGTTTCCTAAGTAAATAATTTTTGATGACAACCGAGCCAACATTTAGAACTAAATTGCTTTTCTACAGCGAAGCAGCAAGCAGTGAAAGGAGCAGGAATTGCAACGAGGAGAGTGTTTCCTACGTTCATGTTTTTCCCTACTTAAGTTGCTTTGCTATGGCGTTTGTTGTATGTGGTTCCTCTATTGAATATCTAAGAACATAAACTTCGTGCTATCGTGTAGTGATTCTCAACATGGTTTCAGAAAAGGTAGGTCCCAGACAGGTGAAAGTGGATGGCATGCCGGGACCTCCAAATTCTTGTTCATGTTATTTTCCTGGATTCCGCTAGGGCCTTTGACGCAGTCCAGCACACCATTAGCATTCGCAAAATATCAAGGTTCAAGTGCTGTCCTGAATACATGACTATTCAGACGGCAGACAGTTCTGCATCAAAGCCAGTAGGGTTTACTCGACTTGGAGGACGTCATAATTTGATGCATCACAAGGGGGGATTCTAGAGCCACTGCTATTTCTTCTTTTTGTGAACGACTTTCCATTGAGTGTCAGTTCTCCAATTCCGCTTCACGCCGGAGAAATTCAGTTATGGAGAACTGTGACATTCGAAGCAGAATCGAGTGCACTGAGAAGTGACTTCTGATTGTTTGTTTAGCGGGTGGATGATGATGGACTGGCATTTAATCTGGATAAGCGCCGAACCATGTTTCTGCGTGCCTTATAGCGGCTTATAAAATACTGAGTGATCCAAGTCATCCGAACAGTGGAATCCTACCGAACGGCCACTGCGACGATCCTCTGGCAACCCGAGGAGAATCATCCACCATAGGTCGAAAAGTCATGTGCGTTCACACTTCTCTGTGAGAGTTTGCAGCCACTGGAACGCATTTCTCGCCGAGATTGCTACTGCTCCGTCTATTGACAGCTTCAAGAAGAGGTTGGGCAGTTACGCACGGTTTGCGTTTATCTGGCTGGGATGTGGACCGGGCTGATACAACCCACTAACTCCGCACAACTTAGCACGGTCAACCCATTACCGAATCCTTTGTAACGCCACTATCATAGCGAAACTGCATCAACCTTATACTACCCTGTAGACATCTCCAGTTACAGTCTCCTACTTACAGAATTACAATCTGTATTCCCATAAGCCGTCCAATAGTTATTCTTTCTCCTTCTCTTCCTACTGAATTTATGTTCTCATACTTTAATGAAAGCTCTCGTTATCACTCCTCCCCCTTTGAATCTACCTAGGTTTCTTCTTTGTTCCGTTTCCTGTCACCTAATCATTTTTTTCTTTGCACTTCCTCTCCCTTGATTACTCTGGACATATTTTCTATCTTCTTTTACAACCAGTACGACCAATTGTCTACTGGCACGACACTTTAGGAACCTATCCGGATTACAGTCTTTGAAATAACCACACACTCCCTACGAATGTAGTCAACACCTAACCGCTTGTCGGGCTAACCGAGCTACAGCAGTCCAGTGGGTAGACCTACTGCATCAGAACCCACCAAATACCTGGAACCGTTCCGCAAGACCTGGAAGCGAGCGCAAAGAGATCAACTGATTTACAATAGCTCTTCAAAAGATGATGGGTTATTGGATTGCTGAAGGTTTATCGACAGGAAATAATTACTTATTTTAAGAAAACTAATAAAGTAGGCAGTAAGCAGTCTAGCTTGTTAGATCATGATATGAAATATTTATTTATCGAAGGCTACTTAGAGTAAATTATATCAAATGTAAGCGGTAAAAACGTAACATGTGATATTTACATGATTATTGCTTAACATATTTTCAGCCCATATCTTTCCAAAGCTGCTTTTAAAATCCTATAATCCACCAAATGCATCTAAACTACCGTCCAGTACTGAAGTACACATTCTACAGATGTCAGCAAAATCTACTACTGAAGGGTACAGGATTGTCACTTCTCGTTTTCATAGTTCTCTGAACATAGGTTTAAATCATCATCCGACTGATAGATATGCTGATCGTTATTTCACCGAAAGTTTTATTACCCATGTAATTTTCCACCTTAATACAAGATTTATTTTTAGTCTTCAAGTCATCCTCATTGATTTTTTAACTCGTCACATTGTTTAAACTGACGGATAAAGAGTGAGAAAGTCTTACACCGGTTTAAGTAATTGCATTGTGGTGATCAGAGGATGTGCCAGATAAGAGAAGGCAGAAACAAAGTAGTGATTATTGCCAAGAAAACTACTTTTAACTCGTGATACTCGTCGTCGGTAAATTTCTGGTAAATAATATAAAACTGATGAAGCAAACATAGTTTGACCTATTCTGCCGATATTCTCTCAAACATAACAGTATTCTTTAATGTCTAATTACTAACCATTTACATTGAGATAAAACTAATGACAGTTCCTTTTAAAAAGGTCAGTTGTTCATTCCTATCAAGATGTTAACAGCTTTTGACTGTTATAATATCTCGTATATTATAAGTGAAGTGGTGACTTGATAACGGCTTACAAAATGCTAGGTAATTTAAGTCAACGTAACAGTTGAGATATGTTGCACAGTCGCTTCAGAATACTTCGTTAAAAACCCAAAGGGATTGTCTATCAAAGGGTGAAAATCAGTGTGCGTTCACTGATCTGCCTTCAAGTATGCGACACCGGGAAGGCATTACCTACCAAGATTTCGACTGCTTGACAGCAGCGTAACAACACAGGACTTGCGCTCATCCAGGAGGGATACGAACGAGGTCGAAATGACTGGTTCCGTTGCATTTTAACACAATCAACTTCGTACCCACTCATTTTTGCTGTCAGTACCATCGCGGATCTAAATCAACCTCTATACTTCCCTGTTAGACGTCTCACCTCAGTTGCCATGCTCGCACTAACAACATTACTACTTCTGTTCGTATTATCGCTACTCTAACCTTATCTGTTCCTTCTCCTCACTCTGTATGACTTAACTCTATTTAGTAAGGTTCTCATCATAAATGTTCTCATTCTCTGCTTCCTGAATACACCTAGGTTTCTCCATTATTTTCGGTCTATATTGCCTCAACTTCTTTTTTCTTACTTTCTCTCCCTCGTTTTTGCTGGAAGTCTTTTCAGTCTTCTTATCTTCTTTTTACAACCAGTCCAAACAACAGTCTAGTGGTACAAAGTTTGAAGAACACACCTGCCCTACAGTTCTGGCTCAAATTATACAACGCCGTATAACTTTGATCAACACTCTACCACCAGCTACGTATACCAGAACTACAGTAAGTGCAAGAGTAGATTTACTGTGTCAGAATTCTCAGAGATACTGAAACATTCCGCAAGACCAAGAAGTGACGGCGAAGAATTTAATTCGTTTACAAAAGCAAGTAAGAAAATATAAGATACTGGAAGTGGAAATAATTTGGAAAAGGAAAAAAACTGCATAGACGAAGGGGTAATATTATGAAGGCGAAGCGGAAAAAATGAGGACGATATAGCAAATGCCGGTGTTTTGTAGCATCTCCCCTTTATTTTCTATTTACGGTCATTTTGGTTGGTAATCAAAGTACTAACACTTTTTTAAATGACAAGGCAACACTAGCTTGGGAACGATTGAAAGCTATACATAACTAAATTCAAACCAGCCACGTTAGCTTAACTGTAAAGTAATCAGATAAACAACAGTTCACTTATAGCTGATAATTTACTTTTACATTTAATCCCTATAGTTTCTATAAGAAGCCTAGAACGTGGGAGTTAAACAAGTTATGAATGATAATAAAAGCCTACCATTGCTATTTACAATCTGCTAAATTGGAACATGAATGCAAAATGTTCGACGAATCTCGGTCCCCAGTAGGTGATAGATAAGATATTCACTTTGAAAACTGCATGCAAGTAACTCGTTTGTCTGTAACATCGTTTACTCATACTGCTGAACAGCCGAAGGTATGATATCTTAGCTATTTACTTTTCTAGTATCCTCTAGCTGATACTAATTTATGAGGAAATCTGTGTTTAAATTGATCAGCATCACTTGAAATTACGGACCTAGAAAACGTTGTGCAACTTTTGAATATTTCACTTCAAATTGTGTTAAATTTACGGAAACTAACATGTGAGAAGATAAGAGTGTAGTAAAGGTAATACTGAAGAAATAGAAGACAACTAGACGAGAGAATGTTTATTACGAACAGTTGGAATGGTAGTGGTTACATATGGTACTCCTCGCACTAACGCAGCCATCTACAAATGTCTTCGTTTCCTCACTGTTCCTGTCTTGATTTGCTCTTGACCAGCTCTTCATACATTCTTATCAGCAGCATCCCCTGTAATACGCCTGTGTTGTCCCCTGCGTTGCTCTTGGCAGAAACCTTACCCACCGCCGGTGATTCCTGCCACCCTCTCGATAATACTACTTATATCCGTTGTTATCAGCAACGCCCACTACAATACTATAATAATTTAATTTAATAGGCATGTTATATCTTGCTACAGGTTGGAGATAAAATGGAAGAGGACTAAATGATATAATAATAGTAATAATAATAATAATAGTAATAATAGTGATAGTATTCATAATAGTGATAATCTTAGAGATATTTTTAAATGTATTGATATTATTACTACAGTTAAGGTGAGTAGTGTATCATGTGTATATTCAATATGTGGATGAAAATCTGCTTACAACTGAAAGAAAAAGTAGTTTGAGAAGTAGGATATAGCATGAAAGCCCTATTGTTAAAAAACATAGAATTAGGTATAAGTGAATTCCTTTGTCAACCAAACTTATTTTTGTCTGTTTATTAGGATAAAAACTGCTGATATAGTGATGATATATCGTGATGAAAGTATACTCGTGAATTTCTGCTACATAAATCCATATTACTTGTACAACACACATTTATATACAGATATATTGGTGTATTTAATTTCAGAATGCGCTAAAATTTATACTTTCTCTTATACCCATACATTGAACTTCATCTATGAATAAAGTTGCTGCTTTAATTTGAATTTCTTCTTCTAGATCTAATTGACGACGACATAAGGCTTTAAGGATGCATGCGCTGCTTGTAAACGTTGTTTTAACTGTTCAATATCCTGTTTAATCTCATCAACTTCTTGCAATAATCTAAGATAAATTGCAAATGAAAAAAGGGGAGAAAATAATTACGTTAACGTTTAATCGCTGTGATAGAACAAATTGAGTTAATGTGAAAAGTTACCTTCATTTGATTGCTAATAGAAAGTTAAGTGTAGTATAATCCAGGATTTGAAAAGACCTAAAGCGACATCGTGGTGTTATATTGATCTTAGTGACAAGTAGGGGAATCAAGGGCGTGCATTTCGTTCTATTCAAGGCTCGTCAACCGGGAGTACCAGTGAGTGATGTTGTTCCCATCGCTTTTAACACCGTAGCGTTATCCACTAAGTCACTGGTGCGCGACAGTCACTTATTGTTCAGCGGGCGTCAATTATTGTATGATACTTGTAAGTTCCCGTCGCCCTACGGGGCCGAATTGCTCGATCTCTTCTAGTCACCAAGATCAATATAACGTCATGAATATTCAGCAGTATCAAGGCATTCAGACAGGAGCCCACATGCCAACAGCAGAGACCAGGCGATTCGGCTGTGTCTCGCAACAGCTGCCTACCTCGATGATGAAGACTAGATGGCCAGAAAGAATAAGCAACAAGAAACCCTTGGAACGAACCAACCAAGAACTTATCGCTCAACAAATATGCAGAAGAATGTGGAAATGGATTGGGCCGACTGGGGACATCATGCGCCAGGGCCTCAAGTAGAACTCAGAGGGGAAACGACTAGTGGTGCCTCTGAGTCGAGGGTGGAACACAGGAGATCATGTGAGGAAGAAATGAAAGCTTGTGGGCAGTCGTTGGGCCGGGTTGAAAAGAATGCAGAGAACAGAGCGAAGTGAAGACGTGCTACTGAAGCCCTATACTCCACTAGGAACCTAAGGGACAAATGATAATAACCGCAACGAGAAATGATAAGTATCATAACAATAACATAATGGTATTTTGAGAATCAACTTTACGTTTTGATTTCTAAAATGCTGCAGCATCATAATCTACTTGATCAGGAAACTTGGGATTATCGGGATATTACATTTCAGTAAATTATCGAATAAATAGTTGATAATATGCGAGAATTGAATTGATGGAGAGAATTTGCAGTATATTTCAGAGATAAGACATATAACCTTAAACCAGAGTTTATATAGTCAGTTTGAAGCAGAAAGAATTTGATGGATTCAGATTAACCACATTCTCCTTCTGTATATAAAGATCAGGTTGAAAGCGTTTCCTAGCGTTGCTTCGGCGAAGATAGTAATCCAGACATTTTGTGTATGTTTATTGGTTTAAAGCACTCAGGGTTCCAACCTGCTGTCCTATGTCCAAGAGGTGTCTGGCGATTGGACTGGTTAGGACTTTACTACCTTTCCTTTCTACATTTCTTACCTGTTTACAAATAATTCTCTTAGAGTTTATATGCATTTTGTTGTACAACTTAAGACTATTGATTTCTTAACTTTGAAATATTTAATGCACTGATATCCATTGTACTTTTAAGTTGTATGCAGCTGAAGAGTATTCGTGAGATCAAATGAAGTCACTTTGTTCTTGCTTTGCCCGAATTTAAATAACACTTGATCCAAGGAGTCGGTTGACGGAAACTACCCTAGTTAGCTTGGTAATATCAGTTACCAACAAGCCAATCAACAAAACTTCAGTGGATCGGTGGTATTACACTCTTTAAGATAGATAGTATGATAGCCAAACTTTCACTTTCAGAGAAAGTCTTATAAAGTCACTTATCTCGTGTTGACGATTAGTTTAATCACTCAATTTTTACACTGAAAAGTGACTACTAGCAGTGTGGAATTGTGATGAAGATTACTATGAGATCGACAATATTCTAAAAGACCACTTGGACGGGTAGTATGTATTGATTAGCAAATTTCTTCTCACCATTTTTACTTCTACATTTTTAAAAGTGTACAGTTATTTCCTTGTTTTATTCTGAACTTTTGTAAAAAAAAAGCCAATTAAAAATCACATTAATTGTTGTGTCTATCAGAGTTATGAACTTATTTTAGTGTTCGGTATAGGTTTTAAGTAGATATTCCCTTTCTAGTTACAACGTTTACTCACTGTGAGCTGCAACTTCCTTTTTCTCGAATCTTACAGCGACTGTGTACTTCTCAAGCAACAAAACACTCTTGTGACTTACTTAATTCAACTACGCCATAGATTTCAAATTAATTGTGTAGTAATTTCAATCGTTGTTATAACCGACTTGGCTGTAGTTAGCAGTGAAGTCCAAGATGGACGTCTCATCTTATTTGTGGCTGGGCAGCTGGATGTACCTATACCCCAGTGAGTGATGTTGTCCCCACTGAGACTCGAACCTAGTACCCATTGCTTCAAACGCCACAGCGTTATCCACCAGGCCAGTGACTCATGATAGCCACCTCTTGTACGGTAGGTATTAGTCATAACTTTTTGTTGATGTACTTGTAATTCTCCGTTGTTTTGCTGGGTAGAATTGTTTAACCTCTGTTGGCATAATGGGCTTCTATGCGGTTGCCTCAATATTGCCTGAATATTTGTTACGGTAATTTACTTGTTTGTGGCTAACAGAAGAATTTAGAACGCACGTTCCATCCTTTTTGGGACTCGTCAGCTGGATGTACCCGAACCCCAGTGAGTGATGTTGTTCCCACTGAGACTCAAATCCAGTACACATGGCTTCAAATGTCAAAGCTTATTAAAATAGCCACCTCTTACCCTCAGCGGCCTAGTGCATAATCTTTTAGTGATTGAAGTGGTGGGTATGTGATTCGAGTTTCCATAGAGAAAAATTATTTTCGAATCTGTAATTAAACTGTCTATTTTTTTAGAAGGCTACTGTTTTACATTTAAGGAATATCCGAAGATTCATTTTCACTAACAGTTAATTCATTCCTTATTAACACGATAGTCAAGTCACTACGAACAAAAGATGGGGATCTTTTTTGCTAATTCTCACCTTCACTGTGTCAAGATAACATGAAAAAGTACTTGAATACGTTTCCTATACTTAGAAATGTTCTAGATAATATCACAATATTTTGAGGGAGTTGTGAGGATTTGGAAATATTTCATGTTGTTATTCATCGTAGACTGACACCAATTGGAGGAACAAAGGAAACCTGGGAGCACTGGACAGCTGTTTCGTCCTAGCATGGGACTCCTCAGCAGTGCGCACCCACGACCCCGCCGGGGATCGAACCCTCGACCTTCATGTTCCATAGTCAGCACGTTACCATTGAGCCACTGGGTCAGAATCCAGTAATCCATATATCCAACTTCTGTTAGCTCACTATATAGCGCACCGTTAAGGAGTCCCATACTAGAACGAAATAGCTGTCCAGTGCTCCTAGGTTTCCTTTGTTCCTCCAATTGATGTCAGTCTACGATGAATAACAACTTGAAATATCACAATATGACAATTCCTCATTATAATATTCTTACCGATAATTTGCTAGATCACGGCACAACTCAATATTTGGTCTTTCTTTACGTATTCCTAAACGAGTTCCAGCTAAACGAAGTGTTCCATCCTTGTCTTTAATTGCTTTATCCAACTCATATAAAGTATCTTCAATATTTGAAATTTCTTTGATTACCTGAAATGTAAATAAATGAACAAAATATAAGCCGATCAAATGTATAAGTTACAAACAAGTACAATCCAATTAAATGTCATATTCTATGAAAACTAAGTACTTAAATTATTCTAGAAAATCCATAACAACTATGACACAGATATCTACAATCTAACGTAAAATTTGAGGTGTGTCGATAGCCCATCCTTTTTAAAGACACTTTCACTTTCATTCAATCACATAATACGGACACATTTCACTTATGATGCATAGTAGTTAGTAATGAGATTCAAGGCGCACATTTTGTCCTAGTTGGCATTCGTCACCTGGATGTACCTACCTCCTAGTGAGTGATGTTGCTCTCACTAGGACTCGAGCCTGGGACCAATCACTTCAAACGCTAATGTTATCTACTGGGCCATTGAGTCACCATAGTCACTTTTTGTGCGATAGTTATGATTCTTCTTAAATATTGTTGATGAAACGTGTATCCTGGATCTCACAGACAATATCAGGGGATCTACCCAGCAGCCCATATTCCAATAAAGACCAACCAATTTGGTTTAATCAACGACTGGCTAACACGAGTAACAAATTATTCCACTTGCTCAAATGGAAATGAAATACTGAATTAAGATTGAACTTTATTGACTTTCTGGAAGAAATAAGGGTCATTGAATTCATACAGAAGTATGCTTTACAAATGAGATAAAATGACAGTGTATAAGAATATGTATCGCATTGGCCAATACTACTACTGTAATGGGTACTACTGATAAGAATGGATATAAATAGTATATGTTGAGAGGTCGGCAGAAATCAAAGACAGTTACCAGTAATAGGAAAGGATTCTACCCAGAGAAACTCAAAAGACATTGTGTGCCTATTGGGAAAACATCTAGATAGAAGCAGAAGAGGAAATGAAGCACATTCTGCAAATGACTGTCTTAGTAGGTGTTCAATATTTTATGACTATTGTACAAGATGTCAATAATAAACATTCATTCCTGTGACACAGTATTGTAGTTTCTTACGCTACTACCACTACTAATACTACCAATATACTGCATGAGTAAAACCTAATGCAAATTGTCGCACCTATTATATAAGGCTTAGGAGAATAAGTTAAGTGTTTTTATCATGGTAAATGAATAAGAGGTTTATATAAGTGAATGATCGGCTTAATGTTAAATTGGTGAACTGATGCTTACTACATGCGATCATTAGACATTATTCATCAAAGAACTTGTTACCCTATACAATTGGTTATACTTACGCACAGAAGGTAAATGATACTTATTAGGAAAGTTATCTCAGTGCAATATCATTGTGATTACTAACAGAGATATTGATGATCTGTAGGTGTACGTACCGTTTTCAGATTTAGAAAAACAATACAGGATGGATACTTACAATTCAATTTAAAGCTATTTGTTCAAGGTGTTTCAAGTGATTTTTCACACAGTTGAAAGATTTCTCTCCTCTTAACTAGTATTCTGTAAAATAATTGTTCTATTTTGGTCAATCTTTACCTTATTGTATTGAAACCCATATTTTGCTGAATTACGAGTATACTTTCAGTTTAATGGTTTCCATATATATGCAGTATACTTCTGACCTTCTTGATAAAGTACAAAGTTGCACTTTCAAATTATTTTGACCCAAAGCTTAAATCAAATCTACTTTTAATTTTTAGTTATGCATACATTTCTACAAGATCTTATCAGTTCTTTAATTCAGATTCAATTTGTAGTTTAGTAGTGACCAAATCCTGAAAAAGTGACTGTGAAAACTGTAGATCTTTAGTAATGTGAAAAAATTGATTCCATTGATTAGGAAAGGAAAAAAAACAAAGCCAGTGGACAAAGAAGTAACATGTACATTTCTTGTCTATGTAGGGTAGATGCATACAATGAAATTTCTAGATGGAATATTCATTTTGCTATATAATATTAATATAGGTGTAAACTTGGGCACTGTGGTAAAATGTAATTCCACATTAGATTTGTTTAGTTCATTTACAACACACAGTGATATAGTACTATTTACTTGAAGACATTTGGAGCACAAATTGATACTACTCAAAATCAAATCAGTGTCATCATACTCCTTTCAATATCTGATTTTTAGAGTCCTGTCATCTAAGATTCTTTATTTTTATTGGTAGTAAAGTTTTCCATATCTGTGGTATAGGTGTAGCGTCATTCCCTTTATTTGTGTTCGGTGTTGATTCGATGAACAAAGCTTCAGTAATCAACATCTCTCTCCACCTAACTAGATTGAATTTAAGTACAATGGTTTAATCCCACTGTACTCTGTGGCTGTGTGTTAATGCATGCATTACAGTAATCGAGTTTCTTCTAGATTATTGATGTTATTTGGGTCTGTCATTCTATATTTAGCTAAATTCCTATGTTTGGCTATTCTAACTGATCCCGATCGGCTAGTATGACCTGTGTGTTTGACGTCGCAGTTATCACATGGAATTTGATAGATTAGATTATTTTGCTTAATTGGTTCTATCGGATCCTTAAGCCAGCCGGGAAAGTTTCTCTTTGAGTGGGTATGTAGGTTTAAATGTCACCTTAATTCCAGCTTTGTTGACGATCGAACGTAAAGTTTTGTGATGTCCTTCTTTATGGGGTAACACTTTTCTACTCGTGTTGTCGTTATTATTTGAACTTACGTTATTGTTATTATTTCGTTTCTTGTGTGTTCGTACGAATTTCTTAATAAATGGTAGAGGATAATTATTAACGCTTCTTTTATGTGCTTCAGTCCCTTGTTTAGGTCCTTTCACTGACTAGTCAGTTTTCTAGCTCTATTATTTAGACATTTGAACAAACCTGCCTTCAGTGACTGACTGACGTTGGATGAAATGACTTGAAGTATAGGTACCTGTTGGAATGTGTCGGTTTGTTGTATATGGTAGTATCCAAACCACCATCTGTCCATTGTTTTATCCTGCAATCAAACATAGATAATTCTCCTTGTTCGTTTTCTACCTCGTATGTGAATTGAATTGGGCTTACTACTGAGTTTATATGTCTGGGGAAATTGTCGATATGTTTTGATTTCAACACAGCAAATATGTCATCAACATATCGCTACCATATCTAAGCTTCAGGATTAAACGCTTGTAACACTATGTTCTCCCAACATAAACATATCTGCTACGATTGGGGATGTTGAAGATCCTGTTGCTACCCCTTCTGTTTGTTTATATACTTTGTCCTGAAACTTGAAGACTGTGGAGGTCTGGCACGACTGTACGCCTAATATGTTCTCATCAACCGATATCTTAGTTCTCTGAGTGAGTTCTGAGTCAGTAATTAGTTGACTTCCGACTGCCTCCAGTACCATATTGATTGGCATTTTAGTGCAAAGACTTGTTACATCGAAACTAACCAGTTTTTCATCTTTTTCGATGTGTAGGCCATTAAGCCCACTGTATACACAGGAACTATGAAAGAATTATTGTCTGTCACATCACAACTATATAGACCATATCTCAAAGTCTTAGAATTATCTAACGGGAATACGGAAAATAAATTATGTCCAAAATATCATCCAGTAAGTAATACTATTTCACTATGTAACGCATCGAAAAAACAGACTGCAATAGATTAACCATCTACCATACCGCCCAAATTTCGCTCCTATATTAATATCACAAATACCTAAAACGTGCAATAAACAAATTCATTGAAGTCACTTTCTCCCATAGACAGCCTTTTTTTCAGAAATTAGATTGAAGGCAGACCAGAAAGAACTGTGTTGCTTTTGTCCTAAAGTATAGACCTATTGAATGAAATATGACACTTTAAAATTCCATGTTTCATGCTTCAAGGTGGATTTTGTTTTGCTTGTACTAGCACACAGATGACTAGTGTTTCTTCCTTGACAATAGTATTGTAAATACAGGACTTGAAATGTATCACTGTTATCGAATGGTTACGTTAAGTGTACTGTCATTTATTTGTTTGAATAACTAACCTATAACTAGTGTGGTTGAATGTCAAACTGTCTAAATTTGGATAGGAAGAAGTTAGCATTAGGTCTTATGTAGCGTATTTGAGTAGTTGAGGAGTACTTGTTCCTCTTCAGAATATTTATTTATAGATTGGTTAACAAATATTGTCTATTTAATTTTATTGATAAGGATGTCTACCTGATAAACTTTGAACTGCGTATTTAAGAATTACAATATTTTTTTCTATATACAGAGATGATGAAGTTAATAAAGTGATGTCTAAGTCCAATAAGAAAAGTTACCATGATTTTCAGCATATGCGTAGTTGAAATAATATTGAATTTTTGACGTATTTTGAATTCATTTATTTATAACACAAACAATGTTTGTAGAACAAAAAAGAACAATCAGGATACATTTATGTTTTCTTTCTTTTGTTTTTTATGCTTTGTTCATAATTGTGAATCTATTAACCAACAAAATGAACTTGTTTCTACAGCTTAGTGTTATCGTCTTTACTTTAAAGTGGTATATTACTTGATAATATGGAACTGAGATTAAATTCTTTGAATGATTCCAAGATTTTTGTTTAAACATATCCAACTTTTTAAGTAAAGATTGGTTTATTGCTCAGCACTGTCTTATTTCCTGATCTACCGTCGTCAGATAATGTTACTGAAGGCAGAAAACCTGAGTATGTTAAAGGCTTTCGATCATAAGCATCTCAGTTGCATCACTGGTATATGGTTGGACCCCCATGTGAGCAGTGTCAAAGTTAATCGAAGAGTACAAGGCAAGCAAGGCAAGAAAGTCGATGGGGTTATGAATCATGATCAATTGAGGTATATGTATGGAAGTAAAGAAATGTTTTACGCTACTCAAGTTACCACGTACCTAAACAATCGATGTAAACTGATGTAGAACCAGCGAATAAAACGTGTAACGGCAGCCAGATTAAGATGCATAATTAGTTTGTAGTTTCTGATTATCGGTCTGAGTAGTATACGGAGGTATACATACCGCAGTTAGGATTTTCATGATTTAGAAACCAAAACTTGAGGATACTATGACGTATTGTAAAATTAGTCGCTCTATCATACTTTACTTTACACTGTTTCACGTGCAAGTAGATATATTCTAATTTGTTGAAATCGACACTAATCCAATGCAGTAGGTTTACAGCTTATAATAAAGTAATCTATCCATTTTAATTGAAGGTGTTATTGTTTGAGAGAAGAAACCTTGAATGATTGCCAATTTAAAACACTACGTAACTGTTGGTTGGTATTCTTCTCCACAAAAGCCTCGTTAAAATATGCATCAACTTATAGGAAGCATGATCATGATTTGATCGAATAGTATGGCAAATATTAGGCGCTGAGTAGAAGGTTGATATTAGATATAGTGTGTATTTGCTTAAGTCACGGAGTATTTGAAATGAAAAAGTTACAATGTTTCGCACGGGAGTTTGGTCCAAGCTTCTTCAGGGAAATAATCCTGTGCGAAACGCTGAAATTATTTCATTTCAAACACGCTGTGACCTATACAAATACAAATTATATCTAATATACCAACTTATTTAATAATCTGGAAGTTTTTAATAAACTAGAACTTGAATCATTAAATTTAAATTAGATTATTTCTGTTCTGATACACTCCATGGTTCTCAGTTAATGATCTAACTGACTAATGTAGGTATAGTAATAATGGACAGTGGCTAGTAGTGGGATCCAGAATGCGCATTTCATCCTATTTGGGACTCGTCAGCTGGATGTACCTGTTTCCCAGTGAGTGGAGCTGTTCTCACCGGGATTCGGACTCAGAAGCGATCACTGCAAACGTCAGAGCGTTATCCACTACACCATGAAGCTAAGATAGCCACTTCTTATGCTATGGTTGTAGTTTTAGTATAATTGCTTGTATTACACTGTCGTTGATCCTGAGTCCGAATCCAGATAAGAACAACATCACTGACTTGGAGGCAGGTACATCCAGCTGACGAGTCCCAAATAGGACGAAATGCGCATCCTGGATTCCACTGCTAGCCACTATCCATCTTTACTATAATTAGGACACAGATAATATCGAGGCATCCACACAAGAGCCCATATACCAATAGAGACCGATTAATTTGGTCCAGTCAAAGACTGTATAACAAGCAATTATACTAATGACTAATATATGGTTTGCATTCTTCACATTTAATTTTTGGCTTACTTTACTTCAGTTGATTTATTAGATGTACCGTACAGTGGAAGAGATTTATTTACTAGATAACGTTTCCGATACAATTTATTATCCAGAGTTATATAAAGATGATGGATGGTGACTAGCAGTGGAATTCAGCACAGGCGTTTCGTCCTACTCGGGACTCATCAGGAGGACGTATTTGCCTCCTAGGGGATGATTTTCTTCGCGCCAAGATTCGAACTCAGGACACTAGTTATAGCCTGTAATCATTCTGCTACATTTGTTGTAAATCGATAACTTTATTTAGTACAGTATTGGACATAAATACTATCAGTTGTGAATAGATGAAGGCATTACAGTATACTTTAGAGTAAACTGGAAAAAGCATTTAACTTGTTTTTAATGATGTATCTGGCTACCTTGAGTGATCAAAGTAGATTACATAGAAACTCCATCTACCACCAAGTATTCAAAGTGTCTGTCGAGATTATGAAATGTTATAGAAAGGCAACTCAAACTAACAGAAGTCCAAATGAAGGATTTTCAGAGAAATTGAATATGCTGATGGCCTAAAGCTCTGTGATTTCCCCAAGTCCTCAACTTAGGTTTAAGCATACAGGAGGGGTATTTTGTAATACCTAAAGATCCTGAACGATAGCTAATACTTTGACAAGGTGGTCGGGCTTGCATATCACAATGACCCAACGCTTGTTCCCTCAAAGTTCTGCTATGCCAGAAAGGTCTGCTGTATGGTGGTAGGATGAAAAGAAATTATCGTTGTAGTGTAAATTACTACACTATGCTGGGGGCCTGAGGGCGAAGTCGTGTTGATGACTGAATGTGGAGTGACAGCAGCAAGGTGTTTTCCTTGGATGACCAACGGTGACACATTGATGCTGCCTTCTCAACGTAAGGCGGTGAGGTAGAAAAGATCAGCCTCAAAATATATCTCACTCCTCCCTGCTCCACGATGTTTTGGTGCCGACTGTGTGGGTTCTTTCTATCCAGCGTTTGAACAGCCAAACCTCAAAAAAACTTCCCACTAAAGGTAATGTGTGACAGGCCTCAAACAGATGACCAAGCCTTCTACAGTGTGGAAAACCCGGAAGTGTCGACTGTCCAAAGCATTCAGTAGTACACAAGACACAATCAAACCCAATCTATCTTCCTCAGCTCCGTTTCCTCCTTTACCTTTACCTCCTGGTACCAATATTAAGTTTCTTACGCCTTACCTTTCTCTCCTTGGGTTTGAGACTGCCTAGTTAGTGTCCCGAAACAAAAGGAATCAGTGGTTGAGAACTCGGTGATATATCTGAAAATCGGTCGCAGTAGTGTAGATGTATTTACACTAACCGTGATTGTCAGATTGTTTATTCTCTGAGACACCTTTGTCTACTTTAATATCAATCCTTTTCTATCCACCTTTTCTTTGTGCACTACTGTGAAAGGTGGCAATGTTACCTGATACAGTAGTGTTCAAGGTTCTATGTTGATTTCATCACTGATTACAGCACTAAATGATGTGGGTTCAAGTCTTTGAGGGGACATCAATTACTTTGAGATTTCAGGTTCACCCTTCTGACAACTACTAGCGAGCAGGAAACGTACGTTTAAGGTTTCCTGCAGATTTCCTCAAGTTAACTAACAGGAATGTTTTAAATGGTGGTTTGTAGGGAATGACTAGTTTCAAGGCAATATTCTTCATGGACTGACACAGATAAGAAGTAGTCAAACTCTCCAGATCACTAAATAAAATAATGTTCACCAGTGACTTGATGTTTTGATGAGAAGCCGTGGTATGTAGGGTCAACCAAATCAAGTGTGAGAACAAATGCTCTCAGGCGGCATCGAATAAAAACCAGACTGTATTGCAGGTTAACAGAAGTAATGATATTTAGACCACTGAACTTCAACTTAGTGGCTGAATGACAGTATCCTCAAGGGGACATCTGATGGTTCCTGATTTGATTCTTATTAGGATCATGGGAACGTATTGTTGAGGAGTCTCATGCTAAGACAAAACAAGCTCTCAGTGCTCCTAATCTTTCAATGGTTCTTCAAGAAATGCCAATCCATGTTGAATACTAACTTTATAATGAAGATATTAATCGTTCGTCAAAACTCACTGCACTTAAATGTTCTTCCAATTTGCCTTTAGAACTTCTAGTTTCTGATATTCTCTTTTTTAAAGCACGATTTGTTACTTCAATTTGACGTTTTATATCGGCTGTAACTTGTTGTATAATTCCATCGATAAGACTTCGTAATTCATGTGAATTTTGTAATTGTCTATCTCCAGCTTCAATTGACTCCGTTGAAAAGTTTTGCCATTCTTCTTGAGTAAATGATCTATTCAAAAGAAAAGATAAGAAGGATAAAAATAAAGATGTATGTTAAAGGCATATAAATCTAAATGTTGAACAAAAAACAAACAATGATTAAACAATATAAACAATAAGATGTTTCTGGAAATTTTTAAAATATCACATAGATTCAAATTTATATTGGTTAGTGTAGATGCAAAAGTTCACCATGTAAATTTTTTTTAGCTAACTGGAACCAGTTAAAAGTGTCGAATAAAAGTTGTTTATGGTGGCTTTTGAAATTGAATCGAAACACATTCAGCAACCTTATACATATTCATGCAATAGGCAGTGAGCCACACATTTAGTATGAGAGCTAATGATATTGTGTAGATAAAAATGATTATAGTGTAAGGTGTAATAGTTTTAGTTATATCCATGATATTCTTCGTAAAATATGCATAAACACTAAATATTTAGAGACAGTAATGATAATGACAGAATTTACTTGATCATTTAGCTTTGATGGAAAGAATATTAACAATTTCCCTTGGTAGAAATTAACATAGAAATTGAAGTAGGCAAGTGTGATCATTCATTAACAACACAAATTCAATGTAGTAGACGATAATATAAGGGCAACGTCAAAATGCAACCTAACAGTGAAGTTTGAAGCAATTTCATCAGTGGATAGACTACTGAATTCGATTTAAACTTCATCATATTCTTTGGGTTTTAAGAAAAGCAATTTCATTTAAATTGTATCTACTCTTCATGTATTGTAAAAGCACAAACTGAGTGACAAAGAGAACTTTCCGCTTTGGTAATAATAGTGGATAATGGCTAGTAATGGAATTCAGCACACGTGTTTCGTCTTATTTTGGACTCATCAGCTAGATGTACCTACCTTCCAATGAATGATGTTCTTCCTACTAGGACTCGAACACAGTACCAATAGCTTCAGACGTCCTCAGTTTGAGTCTTAGTGGAAAGAACGTCGGTCATTGGGGTGCAGATACATACAGCTGACGAGTCCCAGATAGGACGAAACGTGCATGCTGAATCCCACTCTTAGTCACTAACCAACATGAATATTTAAAGTGAAAATACAGACAATATCGGGGCATCCATACAAGAGCTCATATGCCAATAGGGACCGATCAGTTCGTTCCGGTCAACAACGGTCAATTACAAACAGTGATATTGAATTCTCCCCCTTTTTCCATGATATCATTTGCTAAAGTTGTACAATTGTATTCATAATTATTGGAAAGGGACTAGAGTCTATTAAGGGAAAAACGTTTTAGATAGCATCAGTGAAGCAGTGATGGAAGATAAAGCTTGGACTACAAGTTGGATATCAGTACATAGAGAACCATTCAAAATCCGTGGAAACTCAACTGTTGTTTCACTTCAAACTAATTTGTAACTCTTCAGCAGTGCGCAATCGCAACCTAACGATGAATAGAGCAAAGGACCCTCGTTTAATCCACAATGAAGTCCTTCATATTGCGTTCTTTCGTTTGATAAATGTTTTGAAGTTAAGTAATATGTAGTAATCTTCCATCCAACCGAACAGAATCCTTACAGTCTAAACACCAGTATGCTGGTCAAATGCTTCCCTGCTAACTAAAGGTTAATAAGTTTCAAAATTATAGTCACTGTAGTCATCGTCAGAGGTGGTGACGTCATCCGGGCTAACTTCAAGTATTATATATAACTAGGAAACACCAAACAGTTGTTATCAATATCCGAAGCTCAGAATGTTAGTGAACTAACATCTTATTACATTTTTATAACCATCATTCAATAATCAAGAATTGTCTTAAAGACAAGCTATACAAAATGCTTGTCTATTACTTATGAGACGTACCTAGTGTCAATTTTCCGAAGTTGATCAAATCCAGGCAACGATTCATCAGTTGGCTTTAGACTTAGTGCATATTCATCAAGACGTTGTGCTTCAAGTTTATCAGAAGAATCTTTTTTCAGGTTGTAAATTACTTTACGATTTAGTCTAAAAATAAAAAAAAGGACTGTGAATTAGTTTTAAAATATAACAAATGAAAATAATGATGAATACTTTCAAACTGTTATGAAGAGTATGACAGCAACGTACGTAACATAACATTTCACTTTTAATACAGTAAGATCATGATTGATCCTTTGGTAGACATACATACAGATTGATTGACAAAGTCAACGTAGAACCCCGCTCACAGGTACATGCCTCAAGTTGCACACTTTACAGTAGTACACAAAGAACAGGTGAATAAAAGAAGACTGATATCAAAGTAGATTAAGTAATATAAGGGAATAAATAGTCTGACGATAACTGTCAATGCAAATATCCAGGCTTTAGAAGATGTCAAGGACTGAATGTATTTGCACCACTGTCACCGATTTTCAGCCATGTCACCGAGTCCTCATACACTGATTCCCATCTTCTCAGGGACCCCAGCTAGGCAGTCTATATCTCCCCATACGCCTCAAACTAATCGTAAAACTTTTCATTGAATAGCTTCACGTCTTGGTTGGCCACCCTGAACCCTCTTTCAGTTTAATCCAACTTCCCCCAGCTTGGAAAGTCAAGGTAGGCGGTGGACTGGCATGCGTAGTGCACGTTCAAGCCATCTCAGTCGACTGAGATTCACAACATTATCGATCAAGTTGCTTGTCTTGCCTAGTACCTTTTCCTGACTTCAACACTGCTCACAACAAACGCGAGCAATGCTAAGAAGATATCTGCATTCAAAACCAAGTAATCGCATCATATCTTCTACTTTCAATGACCGTGTCTCACAACCTTACGACAGGATAGAACGGATTGTAGCTCATTATACTTGTTTTTTGATAGATAGTTAGATATCTCACCGGTCAGTGTTACAGATGACGCATGTTGGCAAATACCAAACGGGTCTTCTGTATCCGAGCTTAGATTTTGTCAGCAGCCAGCCTGTTCAACCTGATGCAACTTTCTAAATTAAGTGGTCGACACATTCTACCACTTCACTTCCTGTCATTTAAGTCAGAGTACTTGCAGCAGACCAGTCCTATAGCATCATCTTACATTTTAGAGGTGCCACCGAAATACACGCCAAACATACTCAGATTTCTGCTCAAAGAGTTCGTAAGATTCTACTTTTTGTCAGCATCCTCACCTAGCAGGACAATACTATGTGCGTACGCCAAGTCAATCAGATGACTTCCAAGGAGTAAATCGATCTCTGTGAAATCAGGCGTACCTAAAGTTTTATAACGAACTTAAATAGAAACAGTAATGGTGGGCACACCTAGTGGATAGCACCGGTTGTCATCAATTCTGGCGACAACTCTCTATAAGCCCTGACATGACTGAATCAATTCGAATAGAGAGCTTTGATTAGCGTCATATGCTTGCTCGGAACTCCTTTTAGTCAGATACTGTCACAAAACCTCAAGGTTGTCAGAGTCAAATGTGGCATTCAGGTCATGAAATATTCCAAGTGTCAGCCAGTGGCCGGCAGGTATGCTGGTATTCCAGAACCTGTTGAAAGGTAAAAGTGTGATACTTTGTAGAGGTTTTCGTTGTCTCTTTGTTTACCTAATTGTTTTCCGTTATAAAGACCGAAAACGTTCCTTAAACAATTTATCATTCAAGAAGTGTCCTAGTAAAGGATTGATGAGATCCATGTAAAATCAGAGAAAAAGTAGGACTAATAAATGCATACAATGACGAAGCAGCTAGTATACCCATTACTACTAAATCCAGTTGTTCAGTTAAATGGAGGTATATGGAACCTTGAACACAGATATATTAATACTGGATAGTGATTAGAAGTGGGATGAAAATTCGGGTGGGGGTGGGATTCGAATCAGCGACCACTGGGTTACCGGCCCAGTGATCTGCCAACTGACTAATGAAACCCACTTACAGACCAGATCCTAGTTTCACTTAAGTCATTAAGTGTTTTGTCCAAATGCTACGTGAATTCATGTTGCATTATGACTACTTGATCGAACTCATACTGTTTTTCAATATCTGAATGACCTTATTTAGGCAGCCTATATCTTGTACACCAGTTGGATGAAAAGTTGGAGATATTCTGTCATTTCTATATCTGACCACCCTGTTTTTATTGCTTACTGATTTAATGTGCTATTTCATGAGTTTAGAGGATTGTTTTTGAATGATACCCGGTAATTTTTATTAATTTCATGCCAATCCTTGAGAAAAGCTACCTCAAAATCTATTGATGTATCAGTCTTTCCAGATGTTTCAGTGGAAGCCATTAATTCTAGAGATGAATAGGTAGGGAAGGCGGGCATTAGGGCTAGATATCCATCGGTAGTATAATGTTATGTCTAAGCTTTATAATGAACTGGCAAATGTTGAAGTATTCAAATAATTCCACTAGCCGTAATATCTAGAGCTTCCAAGCTGAACCGTGTATGGGTCTATGAGTAGGAACTGGAGTGGAGTACCAGCCTAGGACAATATGATCATCTACACTTCCACAGTTTATTCAAGATTCTTGGCTGATAACAACCTGTGATGTCAACTACCTTTAGATCAACAAAAATCTCTCTTCTGTATACTTATATATAACTCATAAATGATTAAAATATATGACTGATATTTGATACTACTAGCGTTTCGTAAGTTTAAGTTCTGTTTAATTGACACCATGTTTGATAAAATGTTGTGCCATTGGTCGTATATCAACTTATTTATGGTCTAAACCCATTCCATTATCAGTTTTAACATGGGTAACGGATAACCTGGTCACTATGGACTTGATTATTAGTGTTTTGCTTACAGTCAATCTGTAATGGAATATTATCTGATTATCAGATTTGGGCAACCACAAATTCATACACAGATTCTGTCATCCATATTTGGAGAGCTTAATGTTGACTATTTCTTGGTATAAGTAATCTTCCAACAATCTAGGCTGAAAGAAAGCTAAGATAATATAAAAGGTGGATCAAATCCATGAAGATTTTGACTGCTGATCTGAGCCAGAATTTAAGATGATAAAATAGTAGCAGGTTTACACTTTCCGACAGTTATAGACTTCGTTAACTGATACCATTTTTTTGTCTGGTCACCCTTAAGTTTACTCCAAGACAACTAGACTCTTACAGAGTGAATGATCAATTATTTACTCTTATAATAACTACAATCTTCAGGGTAGCAATCATTTAGCTGTAGAATGAATGATACGGGGAAGAATATGTAGTTGTATGCTTGCCCTTTGATAGACAATTGAGGATTCCATGGAAAGGTAGACTGTGATGAATAATTAGCTTTGCCTATTTGTGTTAAAATTTCGTCGACAAAGTTGATGTTTTCCATATTTCGGTAGTCACGGAAAATACAAACAACTGAGCGACGAGGCAAACGGAACAATGAAGGATTTCGCATAAATTGCTCTGAGTTCAGTAATCAAACCTTTTAACCACATGTAGAAGGAAAATATACAGTAGCAGATGGATAGTAGGGTAAATAAGTAAACTGATTAGTGGAGCGGCAACAGTAAGTGAGGAGAAGTAAGACTATGAATTCTTATGTTCCGTGGACTCAGCCTCAGACTGTGAAATGTTTGATTGTTGGACTGGGTTGTGCAGAGAACTGTAACCTCGCCTGTTTGGTTAAATGAGACAACATGAACCAAACGGCACAAAATCAATCACAGTAACACTGGTGGATCCATGACTTATCTTCATTGAAGTCTTGAAAAGCTTGTTATCAAGTATCTTCATCCACTCGGTTGTTTGTTCTCTGTGCCAAATGACTGAATTTGATTTTACAGGTTTGTAGAAATTTAATGATTTTTCACGTTGATATTGTTCATGGACTGACATTAGTTGGAGAAACACTGGAAACCTCGGAGCACCAGACAGGTGTTTCGTCCTAGTAAAGGACTCTTCAACGGTGCGTAACCCTGAACTCAGGACCAACATGTAATCAATGAGCCACTGCATCAGAATCCAATAGTTCATTTGAAATCACTCAAGGTATTACATTTTTATTGCTTAGATTTGTTTAGTTTTAATGTTCCATAATTTTACTGATATGATCTGGAGTAACTTGAACGATCAATTCATTATGCTTGGTAATATATTAGTTACAAAGGTATATACTGCTACTCAGTAAAAGCTATCATAGGATTAACCAGGTTTTTTGTTGTAGATAAGCGGTAATGATAGACATTAATCGACAAAAAAATTGATTCATATCTCCTTTCGGTTTACATTGTCATTTAAAATTTAATAAACTGCATCATGAAGTTCAACTACTTAGGTTATTATTAAGTTGGAACTCAATAAATACAGGACGTTGATTGCTTACGACCCAGTGGTGGATTACTGTAGACGAAAAATAGTTTTGGAATTGTTATAATGATTATGTATCATATTCAGTCACATCAGTTTGATACCTTTAGATAAACAGATAGTGCAGGGTTGATGGATTCAGACAATTTTTGCTCAATTATTGATAGCATATACAACCAAAGTGTGAAGTTTAGTTTGCAAAGTAACCAGATATCAATGAGTAATAACTGATACCCATTGCACAAGAGATGGTTCCCGTGTCTCAGTGGATAGAACTTTGACGTTTGAAGCAATAGGCACTAGGGTGCAGATGTGGCTGGTGAGTCCTAAATAGGACGAAACACGTGTTCTTGATTACCCTGCTAGCCACTTAGTAGACTACAAAGCCAGAAAAGCATTTTAGTTTCCTTTTTATAATCGGCAATCCCCCCTTGAAGGTTAATAATGAGGTTGTATTCGTATTGAGGTTTCAAGGTTATATGTATGTAAGATGACAGGAACGCTTTCCTGTTTCGTCCCACTTTCTCTTCGTATATATATATATATATATATATATATATATATATATATATATATATATAAATCGATTTTCTACAAAGCAGATAACTGATGTTATTCACATGATATACTACTTACCAACAGTACATAAAAAGGAGAATAAAGAAGGAAAAGTAAGTTCACTTCTTTTTGTAAATTTTA